TTTTTTTTTTTTTTGTGTTTTTTTTTCAAGCGCTTTCTTCTTCCTCCATGCTGGCTTCTTTGATGAATAACAAAACATCGTGCTTCTGATTAACTTGGCTCAGGGCTTTGGAATCGAATTCGTCTAACCTTTTCCTCAAAACGTTAACGCTGTGTAACAGGGCATCCCTTTCATCTTCGAGACCTCTAACTCTGGACTGGAGTTTGTTGATTGTGCTTTGATACGAAGTTAATGTGGCCTCTAAATTGTGCACGGTCGTATTTGCTGCCTGTTTTGTTTTTTTTTTCGAAATTGGTAAATTGTTACAAGGTTACAAAACAAAATTAGAAGGGGGGAGGGGAGAAAATATAGCTTACCTGTAATTGTTCAATTAAGCTTTGATTTTCTTGCTTTAATTCGTTGTTGGTAATCTCCTGCCTGGATAATGATTCCGTGGATTTTGAGGTGTTGTGGAACATTTCTTCTTGGAGTACGTGATATTCCACTTCGTAAGACTGCAAAGATTTGGCTACGTCTAAACTAATAGCCTGTAAAGAATAGGAAAATTTAGCGTAATAACGGGGTAATTTTCGATAAATTCGAGATAGAATCAACGTTACTTCGTCCAAAATCCTCGACGTTTGTTCGTTATCTAAAGATGGCAGGACGTTTTTCAGGTAATCGACAATGGTCTCGAAAGTCGTCAGTCGTAGTAAATCGTCTCGAAAAGTTGTCAACAGCAATAAAGATACTTTGAAAACTGCCTCCATACCTTGTAAAAAGATAAGATCTGAAAGAACAATAAAAATTATCGCTACGGAAATTCAATCGGTTTGTAGGCAAATCCCGTTTCCAGATTGCACGGGGACAAAACATAAAAGGCGAACGTCCCCTATCAGTTGTATTGTTGCATCTATGAACAATGACTCACCGAATAGTCTGGATACAAATCCTAGATGGAATTGGGAGGAAAATAGAGTTAGGAACCACGGAGCGGCGTATAAAGCTGGAGAAACGTCGTGGCGTTCGAAATGAACGTGGATGTCGTATAAATTATCGAAAATCAAACGAGATAATTGATATAGCTGCACCTGATAATGATTTAAAAAAAAAACAAGAGGGTAGATTAAAAAAAAGAGGCAATTTCTTAAAGGAAAAATAAACAAAAATGTCATTCACCTGAAGGGCTACCATGTTAGGTCTGTATTGATCGCGAAAACCGAGGCAGAACAGCATGTGTTTTATCATGTCAAAGGCTTGCAACTCCGACATCTAAAAAAAAAAAAAAAAAAAAAAAAAAAAAAAAAAAAAAAAAAAAAAAAAAATTTTTTTTTTTTTTTTTTTTTTTTTTTTTTTGATGAATCCGGTGTATTATATACTCTTAAAATAACGTTGTTATATCTCACTTCAGCCCTCAGCGATCAATCTTATTGAAGATATTGGTCTGTTAATTATAAACATAATCAGAATTCAGACAATCCATTTAGTAGCAATGCGATATCCCATTTTAATAAATCGATCATTCAAGATATTTGCCCGTAATATCTACATTGAAATGGTTTCTTGTCGTTGCTGTCTTCGTCTAATGAGCAGAGGTCACAACATAAAAGAAAGACCTTACCCCGAAAGACGAAAGCCCTTGGGAATTTTTTTAGTTTTAAAATATACAGCTCCTACGATTCTAAACTCCAAGCGGTTACATACCACTTTCACTATCATGATTCGAATCTGAAGAAATATTTCGGTGTGTCGTCTGTACCGCGGTCTGTAGGGTCCGATTTTTCATCAACTGATTTACCCTTAGTGTGTGCATGCTTAACTGACAGTCGGCACAATAAAAAACGTCGTTGTAAGTGCCGATAGAATAAAAAGACAAGAAAACAGCTGTTATGATATTTATTTTTAATTATAATATGTCTGGCTTGTATATAAAATATGATAAGGAAATATTATTAAATATATTTATATATACACATCAGTTTTTCTATACTGTGAACTAGAAAGCTTTCTTTTTCGTACCCAATACATCGATTGGGTAGAACCACTAGTATTTAATGGAAGGTTGATGCCTGACGAAGGACTGGCCAACTGCAGTTTTCCAGTATTTTTTTAATTGTCTAACATCTGAGAAGGGCCTGTTCTCTTTTGAAACTCGTCTCTGAAAACGTTTTCTTTGGCAGATCGCCCTTATATTGCATTGCTTTATTGCATCAATTCAATTTTCCATACCGATCAAGTGAGTTCGAGCATATGTAAAAGAGGAACGAACGGATGGTGTAAGAAAGAACACAATGAAACAGATCAAACATTAAAACTTCTGAAGATTTACTTTCCGCATTGTTCTCTGGGTCTGTAGAGTAAAAGGCTGATAACTACACTGTCTCGGCTATTAATTAATTAATAAAAGATATCTATACAATTTTTTAGTTGAATTTGAATTCGAAGTCCAATATATTTGCAAAACACGGTTCCAAAAACAACATATCTATAAAACATAAAGGTTACAAATTGAGATTATATAATTGATCAATTACGAAATTAAAATTTTTACCATAATTTAGCATCAGTTGTTGGGGTTAAACGAAAGTACCTTTTGTTTACTATCCTAAAAATTTTAATGCTCAAGTTCCGTGTAATAATACAATACTCTATATATTCATTCATTGGCCTTGGTTTATATAAACGGTAACTACAACGAAGTAGATATCGAGATTAAGGTTTAGAATCCACAATCGTTCAATCGATCGTAACAGGAGTATATCGAATTCTCATCTATAAGTAATCGTTATAGTCTTCATTTTACAGACACACGTAACACATTGACGTTGAATTTTAACAATCTAAGAAATTTTTCTAAGAAACAATCTANGTACGCTAATGAAAAAAGGTTGGGAACCACTGCTATAAAACATAAAGTTTACCAATTGAGATGTGATTATATAATTGATCAATTACGAAATTAAAATTTTACCATATTTCAGCATTAGTTGTTGGGGTTAAACGAAAGTACCTTTTGTTTACTATTCTAAAAATTTTAATGCTCAGATTCCGTGTAATAATACAATACTCTATATATTCATTGATTGGCCTTGGTTTATATAAACGGTAACTACGGCGAAGAAGATATAGAGATTAAGGTTTAGAATCCACAATCGTTCAATCGATCGTAACAGGAGTATATCGAATTCTCATCTATAAGTAATCGTTATAGTCTTCATTTTACAGACACACGTAACACATTGACGTTGAATTTTAACAATCTAAGAAATTTTTCTAAGAAACAATCTAAGAAACAATTTAATTACATTTCTATAAAATTACGGAGACTAAGAGTTACGAAATAATGGAAAATTTTTTGGCAAAAATTGAAGCCGAAGATGAGTATAGCAGAGAAAGAAGAAATATGAACACAGAAGCAGAGATATGTTTAAAATGCGTTTTATCTTCGTTTACGTCTACAGCAAGGGTTTACGGATATACTTTTTTCCTACCTTGTTCATGCTATAACCGAAATGATGTTAATGTTCATCCAATTGTAACAAAATTTTATTCATCCTTTATCGAATGTTTCTACTGGATAAATTTCGTTTTAGTGTTTTCCTTGACAATACCGGTTTTGTCAGAGATGATTCCTTGTGAACCGTCGTACTTACTAGACAAGGACGACGTCATCTTTATGAGAATGCTTATTGTTAATTTAACTTTAACTTTCGCACTCACTTTCAGTATTATAAAAAGAGTAAAATTAACCACAAATATTAAATTGACGAAGCCAGAATATTTCCGTCGAAAAGAATTGTACGACATGATTAATTATACTAGAATTATCTTTTCTGTTCTACTTGTAACTTTTATTATTTCTAGCCTATTATTGAACATTTTTTATTTTTATCCTGCTGTAGAAGAAGGAAAGACTTACGAACACGAGGCACTTTTTTGCAGCGTAGAAATTGGCCTTTATATTAATTTGAGTGCGGGTGGAATATTGTATCTAATGTATTTACTATTTTTGCTTGCAATCATATTAATGAACATTTTCCAGAAGTTATCGGAAGATCTGCAACTACTCAATATGAATCATTCTAATTTGGAAACGGAATTAGAATTAATTATGACACAACACAATGAACTTTGGGACTATGTGAAACAAATGAATGGCCCATTTAATTACGTATTGACAATTTTGTACAGTTGTTTAATAGCGTTAACCAGTTTACTTAATTATATTTTAATTTTTTCGAAAATGAAATTTGAATTGAGAGTTTTGATGTGCATACATTGTGCTGCAATGTCATTTACTTGTATTTTAGTAGGATTTTTAGTATCTGCTTTTACATCTGCTGTAATTTCTGAAATGTATTAAATACGCTATTTCATATTTTATTCATTTGTAACATGATTATCTTTTTTCTTTCAGATGCAAACTTCGTTTCAAGATATTCGAAGATTCGCTCAATGCGATCTGACATTGGAACAGAAATTAAAAGTAAAGCTTTTGTTATAAAATAGAAATAGCTGTACTTTTTAATTTTCATAAAATAATATTATGAATTTTGTACAGATTGTGAATTTTATGAAAAGATTTGGAAAGGCATCTTTATGTTTATCTATCAATGGTTTCTTCGATGTTACCAAGAAGTTTCCAGTCAAGGTATGCAACGTATATAGTCATTCAATATATTGTTGTATTATATATTTAAATTTGAATTTGCAGATGTCCAGCGCTCTTTATTCTATGTTTTCGAATCTGTTAAATTTGAGGACCGTTTCGACGAAGAAATACTGCTCTTACTGATATTTGGACTTAAGAATCTATCCTTTGAATATAATTTCATCTTATAACGTTTTAATTAATAAATCTTAATTACTTCATCTATATATGATTATTTAGATACACTGTTATAGTTTTTTGACACGTTATTGTCGATTTGTGATAGATTGCATTGTTAAAATAAGAATGAATGTTTAGAATAATATTTTATTTAAATTTTTATAAATTGCTTAAATAAATGTAAATGTATTTCCTCAAAAACTCCCGTGAAGGAAAATGCCTAAAGTGAACACTGTATACGGGGCGTCTTAATTAAAATTTGCTTATGATCCGTACAGTTATAATGTGTCATTACTTGCTTTGTATCAAACTACTATGGATATACNTGATTCTGATGAAACAGTGTTGTTGTTATTAAGCTGTTTCTTTGCAGACACACTAAGGTAACATATATCAACACTTGGCAACTTATTGACTATTTATTCAGTATGTATACCAACTGAATAAATAGTCAATAAGTTGCCAAGTGTTGATATATGTCACCTTAGTGTGTCTGCAAAGAAACAGAAAAAAATTTCAATTATTAAATATCGGACTTCGTAATCAATTTTATATTAAATTATTTGAAATTTATAAAAGTAAAGAAATTCACTTATTGTAATAACACTATGTGAGACCTGGACCTCACCCTCCAAACCGGGCTGTCGAATCGGGGCAAATAAATAACCGGGGGAAACCGGTGACATATTTTGTAAACAAGACCGGTGCTACGAAGGAACGGGGGTGCGATACAATCTAATTGTCTATTCCCGGTCGTAGATTGTGAGATCGATCGCCGGGGAAAGTACACCGATAATTTCAAAGTAAAGATTACTGATGCTCCCTATCGGCGGCCGGGCTATTCGGCCGGGTACCTCACAGTCCGAATTTCGTTTCTGGTAACAGGGCCGGATGAATCGAGTCACAGAAGGATCACCTTTCGGACCAACCAAAAAGCGAGATTTCGGTTGCAAATCTCATAAGAGCCCGAAATACCAAGGACTGGGGAGGTTGTGAAAAAAATCGCCAGGACTTGAGACGTATCGCTGTACTTATCAAGGAACGTCGAGCTCTTCCGCAGGACAAGAGTAGCCCGGAGCAAACAGGGACTTGACTTCCACGCCGATGATTTCTTTATTGCAGGAATTTCAACGGCAAAAGATCTCCAACGACAGGATCTTCTCTGAGAATTTTACGAACAGGATTCACATATGAACGTTCTTCGATTTTTGGTGTGTAAACCTTTCTTCTTGATCGTGAAACTATCAGCAACGAAACATCTGTTGGTACACTTATGTAATCATGTCTTTGCTGTATTAAATGCGTTCAAGGGTGTAAATTACGTTTCTGTGTGAGTCACTCTTTGCATCTTTCAACCGATACTCCGATACATCCAAATGACTTCTCACGTCACCCTGACAGATCGCGAGAGGGTCGTTGTGCCTTCCACTTAAGGCAGACTATTGTTGAGCAACGAAACCCTAGACAAGTGGCATTGACGGTTCTTACCTGTGTGATTGATATTAATAGCGAAAGATGTGTCATTCCATACAATTATTATTATTACTTCGTACAGAAATTAGTACAATTATTATTACGCTTAATATTCTGTACAAATTACTTTGTACAGAATATTAAGCGAACTATGCAATAGAGGCGTCGCCCATATTTTGTGAAACGCTGTTTTCGTACTTTGAAAATACTAACCTTGTAACGTTTCGGACGCTATCGCATATACGTTCCCCGTCACAAATGTACGTAACGCATTTCCAGAAGCTATCGGAAATTGCTCCCCGACATCGCCACAATGCCGGAATGCAATTTTTCGTCAAATCTTATTGCAGTGTTTTGCCCCTGTACGTCATACTTGTCCTGTCAGCAAGTGAGTGATGTCGGTTATGTACAGTACCTAACACATTTTAGGGAAAAATTTTGAATTGAAATACATAGTTAACCTGGACTTTAAGCTCATGAGCATAAGGCCAAACTGAATATTGCAGCCTAATAATTTTTCTATAAACGCGTTATTTACGAGAACATACCTTCACATAGTTCATACATTCTGTTGTAAAAATATAAACACTTTATTATCATATAAAAGCAAGCAATTATTCTTGTATTATTATATGATTTAATTCAGGCGTCTTTCGTATGTTAAAGTTAACAACTTCGATTACTTGTGGGACCATCATAATCCTTAACTCCCAATCTGGAAATAACTTGGGCAGTTTACATAGGTTGCGTTTACTTCTGAGCTAATAGTGCTACTTCTGAACACCGGAAGTGACGTCATTAGCATGTGTATTCGTGCTTACCTGTCCTTTCGAAAGTAAACGCGAACGCTAACAAAAAATATGGCGGTTTCCTTCAAATAATATTGTCGAAGCTGCTATTTTAAATGTTACGTTACATATAGAACTACTTGATTCCGAATCAGAGAAAAATGATCTTAATGTGGATATAATTGTAGAAAAAATGAAAGAAGAAAAGAAAGTAAAATCAAATAAAAAAGATAGAAACTTTTATTGAAGAGACTGTACTTTCTTATAATCCAACCGATTTTAAACAGCACCTTAGACTTACAAGAAAATGTTTTGAGTCTCTTCTAAAAAATAAGCCTAATTTTAGACACAGAAAAATTGTGTCTAAAATTGTAAAAAAAAATTTAGACACAGAAAAACGTTTGATGCCAATAAACATTTAATGATGGATGTGAATGCATCCATCATTAAATGTTTATTGGCATCAAACGTTACTAAAAAAGAAAATCGGTGTTTAATTAAGAAAATATCATAACTTTTGAAAATAAAAAGACATAGTAGTTTCAAAAATCTTTTTGTCGACCACCATTTATTTTCTCAAATGTTCTAGAATAAAACTTTAGACGACCCGGACTTTCTTTTAAGGCCACACGGTCGCCCAGGTAAACTATTCCTTAAAACGTACAAATTATCCAATTAAAAAGGGAGTAAAAGGGAAAATTTTACCTTTTAAATGCGGTAAGAGGAAAAATTTTACCATCCAGCGAAATTCTAAAATTAAACATAACTTTTATTTATTTTAAACAGCAGTGTTAATTACTTAAATCAGGCTAACTGAGCTTACATCAGTTAATTTACCGTACTATCGAGTAAGGCAAGGTCTATATCGTTCCAACAATCCTCAGGAAATTAAATACAAAATTTAAACTTCCAAATCTCTTCCCATTGATTCCAGAAAAATAAATTGTTCTATTACCTTTATAACCTAAGAACCTATATACAAATATTAAGTTTGTCTGGCAAATTAATCTAAACTATGAAAGATGGCATCTACAATATTCAAGTATTCTCAAAAAAAATTAAACAAAATGATAATACTTAGAAAAAACAGTGTTATAACGTGCATGCCGAAGATTTGCATTTACACAGAAACTATCAACCTTTCAACACGTGTAACATTTATATACTTGTGATTGCATTATTTTATTTTCTAAACATTTAATGACATCCCAAACAGATTGTCCTGTATATTTACATATTATATTTATAATATTTTCGGGGTTTATTATTTTTATTATAATAAATAGCAGTAATATTTAAGTTCACTTTACTTTAAAGATGAATCTTTTCAACAACAATCTGAAAATATATTTTAAAAATTATTAAAAATCGCTATAAGATGTTAAGTGTATGGAATTACAATTAACACAATCAACCAATAGTATGGCTATGCTCTTTATTAATCGTATTATATTATAAAATAAAATTTTAGTTAATAAAACTGTGGCAATAATTAAATACAGTAGAGCGTCGATTATCCGAATGAATTGGGGAATGAGGTTGTTCGGAAAATCGATATTTCGAATAACCGATTATGCACGAAAAAATATATTAATTTATCACATGTTGAGATTTTTCTCCGTTGCGTGTCGCTTCGAGTTGAATTTTCGTCGATTTTACGCCTAACGAAGACTATTGTATCGTTAAAAATTATTTTTTTATTTTGTACAAACAAAATAAATATATTGAAAAATATAAAAACAATAAAAAATTATACTTCAGAAGTTAATTTAGTATCAAAAACGTAAAATATTTGAGTAGCCCAACACATAGCCAAAGATTGCAGCACCACAGCATTGGCAAAAATTTAAATTTGTCGACTGGAATTCTTTCGGATAATGGAAGTTTCGGATAATTGACATTCGGGTAATCGACGCTCTACTGTACAGCATAACGTTATTTTAATTACCGATAAAAGTTAATAATTAAATCCCATTTTAAAATACAGCCAGAACCTCATTCTAGAAAAATTCATAAAAATAAATTTATGAATAGGTAATTCGGAAACAAGTGGATAAGAAAATCCACCTACTCATCCTTCTCCTTCTCACTGTCACTCGGCTTCATATGAAAAATTACAAATATAAAACAAACTGCCCTCAAATAAAAACTCTATGAATACGTTTTAATACAAAAATATTCTTTAACTTCAAAATTCACTTTAAATTGTATCGAAAGGTACACGTTCTCCTTTTGGAGAACACAGCCTCTTGTTACCATATTGTAACCAATAACACTGTATAAGATATCCCGTTACGTGAACATATATTAAACATGTTATTAATTCTTACCTAAAAGCATTGCAATTATACTTCTCTGTAGCTCAAATATTTCTGATTATCTTCAAAATATTCTTGAAATTCCATTATACTTTCGTTACATTGAGTAACATCGAGAGGAGGTAATTCCCCACCATATTCTACTGGAAGATGCTGGGGAGAAATGAATTTGTGCAGAGACTCTATTCCAGAACTGTGAAAATGCAACTGAAAATATTTGATTTACATTAGTATAATAATTACCGTTTCTTCAATTATTCATTACAATACTAGAAGGTGGTGAAGACTGCTTTCAGATTTATAACACTAATCTAGAAATCATGTATCATTCTTTAAAACATTAAAAAGAAATTCACATCAAGTACTGCGCCGTAGCATTGCATCTTAACATGTTTGAGGTTCTAGCCAACTATTGAAAGTATTTAAACTCAAATTATTCCGGGCCTAGAATCCCAATTTTGACTAAATATGTTGGCTTTGGAATTGCCTTCCCTAATCTATACGACTCCAGAGATAAAAATTTATTTGGGTGTATTGTAGCTATTTAATCTTCATACAAATCTTATTTCAAAACTAATGATATAATGTCACCAGGGTGAAGCCGAAATCACTAATTCAATGTTAACGGAATAATTTCGAACTTGTGCTCATCATTATAAATAACCAGCAGATGAGCCCAGCGTTGCCCGGGCAAAAAACAACAAAGATTAAGATTATTAGATCATTTCGTAGTTCTAATCCTTCTATTCTAGTAGCCGGGACGCCCCCTAATGAGCGTTCTAGCATAAGAGGTGTCATTCCACGGTATAAACAATAAATTTTTATTACAAATAAAAACAATAATATGCTAAATTTCTCATGGCGTATCCTACTAAACCGCAGCCAAAAAATGCAAAAAAAACCGCATCAAATAATAATATACTGAACTTATTGTTAATCTTAAATAATAGCTAGGAGCGCCCTAGTTACCATTTTTGGTATGCAGTGACAGAAACAAAGATAGAAAGAAAAAATCCGGTTTATGGAATCCATTGTTAAGATTATACAACAATGTAATGTTTTCTGAAACCAAAATATGACAAACGTGGCTTGTGTAAGCGAAAAATAAAATTATATTAAATAATTAAATGGAAGAGTTCTTGAACAAAAATTTCAAAAACTTCCCATTGTGTTCTTGCACAAAAATTTTTCTGCAAGAACACAATACGAAACTTTTCAATAGTTGATTCGTTGCGAACTCAACTTTATTTACTATGAGATCTGTTAATAAAAACAGAAAAAGAATTAAAGAAAATTAAACCTAAAGTTAGAATTGATAATAAGTTTCCAAAATAAAATCACCTTTCAAATTTACAGTAAATAAAATAAAAGAGCAATTATTTATTGTGACATCGTAACAATGCCAGACTACAATTTTAATCATATTTTAATTTATTTCATTGAAAGTATAATGCTCTTTACCAAAATTAGTACTGTAGTGTCTTGCTTCTGTACATCACTTTTTCCGTTAAAAATGGAATCATCTATGTAACTCCTTTCAGCAGAAATTTTTCAATTAAAATAACGTTTTGCATGAGAAGTTCGTATATATTTAATCGGAGCTTCCTATTCCTTAGCTTTCCATATCTGGTCTTGACTTTCATCTATCTGATAACGTTCTCGAGATTATGGACAGACGGCGACACTGGGAATTTATAGGTCTACAATTTTTCAAATTGCAGCGCAATGATATCCTGCTTTCAAACTTAAAATATCGATATTTATATAAATGCGGATATGTTAAAAACAGATCTTTTATCTCCGGACGATAGTAATTCAATAACTATTTACACTGGACATTATTGCAGTCGTCTTTAATTTGACCTTTAAGGTATTTTGCAAATCTCCATGTTTTCAGACCTCGTCAATTCAAAACAGTAAAACAATAGAATTCCGTGCATATGTATGTATATAAGAAGCATTAATGCTATTAAATTTTGGTGATAAATTAAAGGTCGAATGTAGAAGAGATAAAGAAGTGTCATGAGTCATAACTCGAGAGGGGTCGGACTTAATTAAGATGTTAATCGTTATTAGCCTTTAAATATTATTAATATGTAAATATAAAACTCACCCGTTTCTTTATTTTATATGGAAGAAATGGCCGAAATGCAGTATAAAAGGCATACACAAAATTTCCAGTATTTATAACGTGAATAGCTTTATAACTAATCGGAGTAGATTGCTGTTAAATTAAATACATAGTTTAAATTATATGTAATCATAAAATAAAATAAATAATTAACATTATTGCTGGTACTATTAATCTCATTATAACTTACTATATCTTAGAATAGTAACTTTCTTAATAACATAATATAGGTAATCCAACTATAACTTACAAAAATAATGGAAACTACGCAAAATAATGTACTCGGTGTTAATTGCAAAACATGACTCCATGATAATGTTTCAGCATCCAGAATCAACACAAATCCATTGACTTGAATTATATGTCCTGTTATTGCCATGTCTATAAACATCATGAAGCATTTTATGATGTCTTTGAAATGTACTTTCGAAGGATCCCAGTAAACTAAAAATATATGTATATATATAAATTAATTCTCGTATCACTCACTATTAAAACAGTACAATAGAGCATCGATTATCCGACTCAATTGGGGACTCAGGTTGGTCGGATAACTGAAAAAATCAGATAACCGAAAACAATGAAAAAAAAAACATTATTAGTATAGTATATTAGTATATCCCATGTAATTAGTATATTAGTATATCGCTATTAACCAATGTCGCATTGAATTTTCATCGATGTTAAGTCTAACAATTTTTTTAAATAATAATCGTCGCGACAAACAACCACTCTTAATTAGAAAGTTAAGTCTCGTTTAAATACTGGCCTCCCCTCAATGGTCGAGCCAGTGTTGCCAGCTAAAACATGCAAAAATTTAACAAAAATAATATTAAAGTAGCCAAGACAAAGCCAAATATTGTAGTGACACATCACTAGCGGAGATTTGAAATTTGCCGACTAGAACGGTCGGTTAACCGATGTGACGGTTAATCGAGGTTTGGATAATCGATGCTATATTTATCATAAAAACAGAAAAGCATTACGAAATTTAGGTTTTCAAATTAAATACGAGGCGTGTCCGGAAAGTAAGTACCGTTTCGTTCTACCGCCATTGCAGTGGTAGTGTCGCAGTTCAGCGCCTGCGCACACGACTCTCTGGTTGATTGTCAGTCCAGTGACGCCATTACAGCCGGATTATGTTGTTTTTCCACGTGCTAGGGAGCGTTTAAAATGTTTAAGACTATTGTCGATCCCGCCGACTGTGAAGTGCATTCTGTAATACGATTTTTGAACGCAAAGAATGTTAAGCCGGTTGAAATTCATCGTCAACTTGTAGAGATTTATGATGAAAATTTAATGAATGATAGAGTGGTTAGAAAGTGGGTTCGACAATTTAATGCTGAACGCACTGATGTTCATGACGAAGCATGGAGTGGCTGGCCTTCTGTTGTCAATGATGGTTTGGTTGCAAAACCGAATGAAAAAATTCCTGAAAACAGACTGTTCACAATAAGATTGCTTTGTGATGAGTTTCCACCAATTTCAAATACTGTTTTGCATGAGATTGTTGCTATAACCGATGTTCAGCAGTGGCTGTCTTCACTGGCGGCATCTTTCTTTGAAGAGGGTATAGACAAGTTGGTTTCCCGATATGACAAATGTTTGAACAATGGTGGTAACTATGTAGAAAAATAGTTTCAGACATGCTCTTTCATGTAAAANAATAATCGTCGCGACAAACAACCACTCTTAATTAGAAAGTTAAGTCTCGTTTAAATACTGGCCTCCCCTCAATGGTCGAGCCAGTGTTGCCAGATAAAACATGCAAAAATTTAACAAAAATAATATTAAAGTAGCCAAGACAAAGCCAAATATTGTAGTGACACATCACTAGCGGGGATTTGAAATTTGCCGACTAGAACGGTCGGTTAACCGATGTGACGGTTAATCGAGGTTCGGATAATCGATGCTATATTTATCATAAAAACAGAAAAGCATTACGAAATTTAGGTTTTCGAATTAAATACGAGTAATTTAATATAACAACGTTATACATAGATATATAATTATTAATATTTTTTTTAATGGAGAAGAGAATACATAAAGTATATTCATATCATTCTATATAAAATATAAATTATTTTGCTTGTGAGTTTAACGTTCAATATTAGTAAATATGTGTATAAAATAGTGAATATAACTTATCTTACATACAGTAGATTCGATTATTTCTTATCGGATTAACCGGGGTACAAAAATTGTCTACGGATGAGTCATTTGCTCAGAAATAAGCAGACGTTCTATACTGAAGAGCTACGTGACATTATTTTAATGCGAGATCAGGGCCAAACATTATTTTATGTAAATTCCAGATAAAAGAAACGTTACATTTGTAAATGATACGTGAATAATTCAAACTAATCGATCCCTCTGAATAATCTCTGTTCAGCTGTCTCCACCCTTTGCCCTCTCAAGAATAAAAGACTCAGCCTTTTCGAATCATCGAAGCTTCAGTGAACCTAAACCATGCGAATCAGGAGTACATCTATCCGCCGATTCTGTGATTTCAATCTACATATATAATCGAGACGAGTTGATAATGATAATAATAATAATAATAAGCGCAGAGCCCAAACGTGTAGGCGTTGAAAGTTGAAATTTGGTGCACAGTTAGGGTATGTTACGAGGACGCACACTGAGAAGGGAATTTTCGAAATTCCTCCCCACGGGGAAGAGGGACAAGATTAAGGCTTAACACTGGAAATGTCAAGTAACAATGGAAGTTTTAAGTAACAATGGAATTGTTAAGAGAAAGCGACGTGCAAGACGCAGATGCAGTTTTTTTTCGTTTTTGCGGGAAAGCGAACATATTTTTAGACCCATCTAAAAATTCTCTCATCAGTCCGAAAACAGGGGTACCCAATTCTTGCATTCTGTGAAAACGGATAAGGTTGACTATAGCGTAGTAATAATGTTAATATTCCCTATCGTTACTTTTGCCTGAGCAACGCCGGGCCTATCTGCTAGTTTATAATAATTAAGCTATTTATCGACGCGCGAACGATTGTGAACTCTCTCTCTCTAGCGGTCAGGGTCGCGATATTAATGATAAGATTACTCCTTGTTTATTCTATTGTGTTATAAAATTAGCAAATAAGCTAAGCATCTTAACCAATTGTGTGCAGAGGTGTAAATAGTATCGATAAATAAACGGGTTTTTGTTAAATGATAAATTTGTGGAGTGCACTTCTTCCAATTGTCCCGATCCCTCTCCCTTCCGAGATTAAGCATCTACATACGCAACCGCTTGCGCGTGAACGAACTGCTAAAGGTCATCACTATTTCCGTGTCCTTTAAGACCTAACGTGACATTAAAGAGGTGCCGATCCTGCAGTCGCACAAACTACTAATAACGTAAATTTGTTAAGTACCTTGTAGCTATAGAAAAACTGATGTGGAGAACCTCATGCACTCTCGAACGACAAGTTGTCCATGCTCACACGTCATCATAAATCAGTTTATGAAATAGCCACTTTGCAGGCAGAAATACGAAGGAAATGATACACTTTGCCGGAATGTCCACTTCTTTATGTCAAATGGTAGTTTTCGTTGTACTATTCACGTTTCATGAAAAATTACACCGTTTAATAGACACAGAATTTAAACTGCATCGGATTAACCAGGATTTTCATCAATCGCAATGATATTTTTTTTATTCATCCCTGTAATCGAGTGTTTGTAGCATTAGTCTAATCCAAGTATACCATATATATATATAACCCATTCATCTGGTGTCCGTCCGCGTAACCGTTTGATAACGGACACTAGAGGTGCCCCTATCGTGTGTCATATTTCAAACATTCAAATTAACAATTTTAATTATTATTTAAATTAACAATATAAATTATTATTATTCATTTGGCCCATAAATTATTATTTGGTCAATATAACGATATAAATAATCTATATATATAATCGAGACGAGTTGATAATAATAATAATCAGCACAGAGCCCAAACGGTTAGGAGTTGAAAATTGAAATTTGGTACACAGATAGGGTACGTCACGAAAACTCACACTAAGAAGGGATTTTTCGAAATTCCTATCAACGGGGGAGAGGGACAGGATTAAGGCTTAACACTTCCATCAACAATGGAAGTGCTAAGTAACAATGGAAGTGTTAAGTAAGAATGGAAGTGCTAAGTAACAATAAAAGTTTTAAGTAACAATGGAAGTGCCAACAATGGAAGTGTTACGTAACAATGGAATTGTTAAGAGAAAGCGACGTGCAAGACGCAGATGCAGTTTTTTTCGTTTTTGCGGGAAATCGAACATATTTTTAGACCCATCTAAAAATTCTCTAATTAGTTTGGAAACAAGGGGACCCAATTCTTGCATTCTGTGAAAACGGGTAAGGCTGACTGTAACGTAATAATCTTTATCTTAGTTATCGTTACTTTGCCCGAGCAACGCCGTCCAACCTGCTAGTTCAGTATATTTGTAATAGGAATTTATTTCAGGAGCTTATATCTCGCGAAGGGTCGCGAGTAGGGGTATGGTTCCTTTGACTTTATTGTTAGTACAGGAGTCTACGGTTTGGAGGAGTCGCCACCTTTTCATTCGGAGGGTAAATCTTACCATTCGGAGTTTAACAGAGCTGTAGAGCATATTGATATAAACAAAAAAGTCAAAGGAACCGTCCCTCATGGAAATTTGTAAAGAACGCCCACTAGGGGGCGTCTCGAGCAACTAGTATTTTATAATTTATTCTATGATAATAATTATTTCACTTAAGCTAATCACTATATCAGTTATCATAAGCACAGATTTCTACATCAAACATTTTTTTTTGATACAGCATAAAAACTAAATACTAATAATATTGTCCAGTCAATTACCGTAGAGACGTACTTTGTTCTCTAGCGATAACGTTTACCAGTTATAAGTTTGAATAAACATTACATAAACACGGCAGAACTTTCTTTATATAATTTATTTTCGTAAATTTAAACCAATGTAGATTTGTATCAATTCTTCGTAAAGAACTTTGGATATTTATTCAAACTTTGATTAATAAAATATTATCAATCTTCAAGCAAAAACATTTATATAATTAGAAACGACTTGTCTTCTACGCAATTAAAATTGATTCGAATGGCTGTCTGTCCGAATATCGAGGCTGAACCGATTTCTTTTAAACTTTGTATGTATATTCAGTATAATATTTATCATTTCCCCGGATACCTCAGCTAGTAATTTAATAATTAAATTAAGTACTTACGGCTTCGAGCGATTCCCAAAATGCTGCCATCTTGATCCGTGTGTGGAAGATAACCAACTATTTTCGTGTCAAGACACTTTTTCACGGCAGCAGGATTAAATTCTCCAAACATATCTGAGTATTTTCTCCTCGTAGAGTAATAATTTTTTAATAATTTAATTGCTCTTTCTTTATCGAATTTTCTGGCTCTAAGGAAGCTCAAGAGAAACATATCGTCTAAACGACAATTTATATTCTGCTCTGTAAAAAATACGAATATAATAATTCATTGTTAGATAATTAAATATTTATATATGTTATATAATAAATTAGCATAGATATTTCAGTTTACGTAATTAAAATTCTCCTTTAAAAATGTTTATTTTCAATGTACTGTACTGAACAAGTTTATCGTCTAAGACTTAGACTCTAAGTCTTTATATTTATTTTTATTTAAGTATAATCAAATCTGATTTGCTTCAAATTATTTTCTGATACAGATATATTTTTTCTCAATTTCTTATTTTACATAACAAATTATAACTCCTGACTAACCTGGCTAATTCAATGTACATTTATTACATAATTTGGCGTTATCATTTAATCAATTATATAATACGGTCAAACCTGTAAATAACAGCCACTGACGGCAACATAAAAATATGATCGTTTTGAAAAAATTATTTTGTGTTCCTTGAAGAAACAAACGTTCCTGAAAAAATGGCCGCCCTTTACAGTTGGTCGTATTCGAGGTTCGATTGCATCTATATATTGAATTATTTAAATTATAGCCCGATTAATCCTGCGTTATTATTCCATTTCTTTTTTATTTTAGATTTAGTTTACTTCATAATTATTCTAAATAAATATGAATTTTTTCTTACCGATTACCATTCTCTTGAAAATTTCAAATTCGCTTTTATTCCATGTTAAATAATCTTTACTTTCTTTATTGCTGCAATCTTTTACGAGTAAATCTGCATTCATCTCTATAAAATCGTAACAAAATATACTCTTATAGTGTGTATTTGTGATTTATCCGCGAAAAGTAAATAAAATAAAATCTATATATTATCAATTAAAATTAAATACTTAAATACATGTAATTGCATTTATATAAATATTTTTACACTGTNGTATATTCAGTATAATATTTATCATTTCCCCGGATACCTCAGCTAGTAATTTAATAATTAAATTAAGTACTTACGGCTTCGAGCGATTCCCAAAATGCTGCCATCTTGATCCGTGTGTGGAAGATAACCAACTATTTTCGTGTCAAGACACTTTTTCACGGCAGCAGGATTAAATTCTCCAAACATATCTGAGTATTTTCTCCTCGTAGAGTAATAATTTTTTAATAATTTAATTGCTCTTTCTTTATCGAATTTTCTGGCTCTAAGGAAGCTCAAGAGAAACATATCGTCTAAACGACAATTTATATTCTGCTCTGTAAAAAATACGAATATAATAATTCATTGTTAGATAATTAAATATTTATATATGTTATATAATAAATTAGCATAGATATTTCAGTTTACGTAATTAAAATTCTCCTTTAAAAATGTTTATTTTCAATGTACTGTACTGAACAAGTTTATCGTCTAAGACTTAGACTCTAAGTCTTTATATTTATTTTTATTTAAGTATAATCAAATCTGATTTGCTTCAAATTATTTTCTGATACAGATATATTTTTTCTCAATTTCTTATTTTACATAACAAATTATAACTCCTGACTAACCTGGCTAATTCAATGTACATTTATTACATAATTTGGCGTTATCATTTAATCAATTATATAATACGGTCAAACCTGTAAATAACAGCCACTGACGGCAACATAAAAATATGATCGTTTTGAAAAAATTATTTTGTGTTCCTTGAAGAAACAAACGTTCCTGAAAAAATGGCCGCCCTTTACAGTTGGTCGTATTCGAGGTTCGATTGCATCTATATATTGAATTATTTAAATTATAGCCCGATTAATCCTGCGTTATTATTTCATTTCTTTTTTATTTTAGATTTAGTTTACTTCATAATTATTCTAAATAAATATGAATTTTTTCTTACCGATTACCATTCTCTTGAAAATTTCAAATTCGCTTTTATTCCATGTTAAATAATCTTTACTTTCTTTATTGCTGCAATCTTTTACGAGTAAATCTGCATTCATCTCTATAAAATCGTAACAAAATATACTCTTATAGTGTGTATTTGTGATTTATCCGCGAAAAGTAAATAAAATAAAATCTATATATTATCAATTAAAACTAAATACTTAAATACATGTAATTGCATTTATATAAATATTTTTACACTGTTATATTTATTTTTAAAATAAGAATCAATTTAAAAAGTTAAACCTCGATATAGCGACATTTTAAATAGTGACAGTTCGTAAAGTTCGTATTTTCATAGTATTGATAAATATACAACCTTTTAGTATCTGTAAAGAAATTATTATCACCGAATCCTATGATTTTCAGACACAAATTTACATGAATACATCATTAATTTTTATTGCATTTCTTCGGTTCAGCGCTACTCACAGTTTATTGCCAATTTCGTAGGCAAACAAATGATAGCGCTACATAGAAGATTTATGGATCTAAGTAAATCACATTAAAAAAAAACAAAAAGGTCTTACCTTCTGCATTGACTATTGTTTACTGTGTTGAAAAGGGTTGGAGTCTGTACTGTAATCAATTTTATCAAAAGTTATGTTTATAAATGTTGAATAAAGTTTAAAGTATGAGATTAGATAATTTTATGTGATACAAAATATGATAGAATGCAAAAAATATCTATGACAATAATTTGTATTATTAATCTTATAATGTTCGTATTGTAATAAACTATGAACTTCTAGAGAAGTTCACAGTTTATTATACTTTGTTTTTTGTAAGAATATAAGAGGTAACGTTTTCTGTAAATACAGAAAACATCATCTTTTATACTGGGACGTTATCCTATGGGCAAAAAGAGCAACTGCTTGAGGGAGCACTCAAATTAATCTTTAATAAGAAAAAATTTTTCCTTCCTGAAATTTCCCCGAAAAAAGGAAATGTCTACAGTCAACACTATACATGGCGCTGTCTAATTGAAATTTGCTTGTGCGCCCATTAATCTATAATCTGCCACTGATTTTGATTGTTGCGAAGATCGAACTGCTTTTGAGTAAGAATATTTATTCTAAATTCTAATATTTTAATTTGTCTTTACAACCATTAATATTTCTATTTTCAGACGCGTAAATATTTCTTACGTAACTTTCTCTTCTAGAATGTAGAATTTATTGTAAACAGAAACTTATCCTATAATTGGATGGTGTTGTCTCGAATGTCTCCTTCTTACTGCTTTAAACGTAAAGAAGTGTGAAAATATACCATCGTTCTAATGAAACAGCGTTGTTACTGACGTCAAACTTGCCAGTTTAACTTTGTGCTTTTATGCACACGAAATAACTTATTCGTTCCAGATGGCTGCAAATAGTGAAGTCAGAGAAAGTCAGTAATTGTGAAGTTCGTTTACGACAGATACAATAAGAACCCTATCAATCCTCCACAGATGCCTTATTTCCTGTGTACTTGCTGATTTTTTCAGTGCATGTGTTTTGTATATTGTGAGGTGTTTGGAACTGATATGTCTATAATGTATGTGATTTTATTGTGTTTGTCAATGAGTGTGATGTCTGCTCTGTTGTGGTAAATTGTTTTATCTGTGATTATGGTTCTGTCGCAGTACATTTTGTGCATGTTGTTTTCCAATACTGTCTTTGGAATGTATTTGTAGTATGGTTCGTGGCTGTCTAATAATTTGTGTTTCTTTTCGAGCTCTTGGTTTATTATATTTGCTATTTGATTATGTCTATGTAAATTGTCAGATTGCACATCACTTCTGGTTGCAAGCTCTTGTGTGCCAAGATCTTTCAACTAGAAGTGTTATGTTGCATAGTTTGTTGCATAATGTGACATTTTCTGCATGTATCGTTTGAGTGTTATATCTTTGAGTATGTATTTTCTGTAGTTCTTAGTATTAATGACCTGATCTCGTATGGCAGTCATGTATCCTTTTGTCTTTTGAAAGAAGCATCCCCGAGCTAACCTGCAGTTTGACGCTTATTATTAGAATATTATTGTTATTATTATATACATTACTGTATCATACAAAACGTGTTTATTTGTCTTACAATAACAAAACACCCAGAGAAAAATTTATAAACCAAATAATGCCGTGGGCTTTATTCGGATTATAAATTTGATTCATCAATGACAAGTCTTATTTGGCGAATGTACCTTACACTTATTCTCAAACGGTGTTAGATAGATAAAATCCGAGATCAGATATGGAAACCGTAGGCGCAGGAGGCCCCGATTAAATATATACGAACTTTCGATGTATACATATTTCATTTCTTTTTACTGATCTCGATTATCAGTTGTCCTCTATATTATTTTATCTATAAACATATAAAACATATATTATATTATATATATTAATACTTCGCAGCTATAATTTACAACCTTATCTATCGAACATATTTAATATATTGTTTCATTTTGACTCTATAATCTAATCTTCTTAACAAAACATCCAAATACGATAATTTCGCATCTTTTTTTCTCTTTTATTAATTTAATTTTTGCGTCATCATCAATTTCATTTGCCATTTTTAATATTATGTCGACGTTAACTCCATTTAAATTATACAATATAAAGCAATAATAAATATATTTAAACCAGCAATTATTTATTGTAACGTCGTCACAATGCCGGGGTGCAATTATTAATTATATTTTCTAAAATTTAGTTAATTTAAAATATATGCTACCCACCTTAAATTAGTAGTGTCTTACTCCTGTACATAACATTTTTCCTTTTACCATCACAGTCATGTCGTCATCTACATAGCTCCTTATATAGAAAATTTTTGAATTGAAATAACGTGAGTTTCGATTTATATTGCGAGTTCATATACTGGGCTTCCTTCCCCTGTTATTTCCACATCTGGTCTCGAATTTCACCTGTCTAACAATATTCTCGAGGTTAAGGAAATACAAGCAAGTATGTAAATAGCAAAGGATAAGAGAGAACTTATCTTTTTTGGATCTGCACGCCTCTCTTGCCAGTGTAATATGTGTAATGTGTACGGGTGTTGTAATATATATATATATATATATATAAAATTAAACACAAGTTTCTGTAAGGTTAAAAACACTGTATTGTTTAATAAAGAATGTAAACAACAAAACTTAATTTGCAATTTACATTTGTTGTTTTTGATAATTTTATTATTATGGTAAATGTACAAAAAAAAAAGCTTTATTGAAATGCAAAACAGATAAAAGTTACTTCTTAATGTTTAAAACTCTTTCATATCACGTAATTTAATTGAAAATCTTGCAATAATTTTAACATTAATGTCAATACAACACACAAGAGCTATTGAAATTATAAATAAGAGCCTTTTATCATATTTTAGATGAAATGTCTATAATACTATAATGTCTGCCCCCTCTCACAACAACAATAATACAAAGTTTAAACTAATTCATCACATTTCCGATTTCAGTAGGTTGACGTCATTCAGCCGACCAACCAGGGCTTTTTGCCATCTGAATATTTAGTTGAATGTGGAAAAATCCGGTTTTTCACCTTTATATAGTTATATTATACAGTTCTAAAAAGTTATCACAAGATGGAGTAATCGCTTACCTGAAGCCAAATTCTTGTGTATCCGATTATTAATTAGCCTAAATATAGCAAGATAAAAAATCCATAAGATTGTTTTAAGTCAGATGTCGTTTATCAAAATTGTAACGTAACGTAATGTTTAAAATTAAATTATTTATGTAGAAAATCTACAAACATATTAATAATGCGAATCATTATGTAAGTTTTTAGTTACATGTAGGGTGTTTCTAACGGGATCCCGGGATCACAACTGTTTTATAATTAAATCCACAAATAGTTTACAAATTTCTTAAAAGTTTACTTTTTAAAAATATAAATTTTTCAGAAAGATAAGCTGTATACCAGTTCAATAAAATTTGATGCACTGTATTAAATTCATAGAAAACTTAATTTAAAGCATTATAAATTCATATTTATCTTTAGATTATTTTTCTCTCACCCATAAAATTGAAATTATCTCTGTATAATGTTTACCCAAAATATTAATATTACTGTTGAAATATAGCATTGAGATTTCAGATTTAATTATGTATATGTATTTATAAGTTCTTAGAATTAGCCGGATTTATTATTGCTTTTTATAATTTTAATTAGTAAAATTTAGAATTTAAATTTTAAAATAAATATTTTAAATTTAATTGTACGATCAACAGAACAAAATATCGATTTCTTCCCATTCTTCGTTATGAAATACGAATTTATTTTCCGCATCGATCGCTAGATTCATAAATGGTTATGTAAGCCAACAAGGAATTCGAATTAAATTTAATCGTATTGCAGTTTAATATTTAACGATTTTTCGAAACGTGTTACATAAGAATTATTTCATAATCTTAACTAATATTATAAAGAGGTAATGTTTGTAAGTATGTAAGTAAGTAAGTTTGTATGTAGCGGGTAATCTCCGAAACTACTCATCCGATTTCAAAAATTCTTTTACCAATATTTAGAATGAAACTTCAGGGTAGACATAGGCTGTATATTATTCCGTTAAACATTCATATAAATTAAAAGATATAATCTAAGTTAAGGCTTTTATGTCCAACAGATGGCGCTACGAGTACGACGCCCTAAGTTTGCTTTTCTGTGAAAAGGAACTAAAGCGGATCATCTTCTATCTATCTATATGAATAAAAATGTAATGTTCGTTTGTTCCTACTGACTCCTTTGAAATTTTGACACAACGCTGCATTCGAATACGCACGTGTTTTTATATAATATACATGTCGAATTTCCCCCCACTGGGAGGAGATGACAAGGATAAATGGCTTACCGTAAAGAACTCTGCTTCTATTTATACTATTTTAGATGCGATTTTTTGCGTTTTTGATTGCGTTTTAATAGTGTACGTCAACAGAATGTACACTAAGAAGGGATTTTTCGATATTTCCCCTGAGGGGGAGAGAGACAGGATTAAGGCTTACTGTGAAGAACTTGGCTTCTATTATACTATTTCGGATGCGCGTTTTTGCGTTTTTGATTGCATTTTAATAGGGTACTTCAAGAGAATGTACACTAAAAAGAAAATTTTCGAAAAATTCTCCTTCCCACGGGGGAAGTGTTATACATTTATAATAGTTACATTTTGAGCCACAACAAGGCGTGGCAGGGTCTGCTAGTTAGAAATATATTGAAATTGTAAATAATTATGTTAGTTCATACGCATATTAATTCGTGTGTATTAAATACATAAAAGTAAAGCTAAATTTCAAAAGGGAAGAATAAGTAAACAAATATAAATCGAATCTAGATTAAAAGCAACATTCATGCTATAACAATATAGAAAGATTTAATATATTCGATATCTGTACGTCAATAATTTCTGATTATTACACATTTTAATAATTTTCTGCTTTTGATGAATCCGGATACAATTAAAATAATGTTGTTGGATTTCATTCCAGCCCTAAACGAACAATCTTATTAAAGACAATTGCCTGTAAAAAATAAACATGATCACAATTGAGACAACCCATTTCGTAGCAATGAGATACCCCATGTTAATAAATCGATCATTCAAGAGGTTTGCCCGTAATAGCTACATTGAAACGGATTCTTGTCGTCGTTGCCTTCGTCTAATGAGCAGAGGTCACAACATTAAAGAAAGACTTTCCAGAAAACGAAGGCTTTCGTGTATACAATACTTTCATTTTGAAATATATCGACTTACGATTCTAAACTCCACGCTTACCTATCACTGTACACGATTTGATTCGAATATTTGCAAACAACACTAGAAATACTGTATTTCGGCGTGTCGAATACCGCTGTTTGCCGTGCCCCATTCCTAATCAACCAATTTACCTTTGTTGTGTATATGGCTAAACTGACGGTCGGTACAATTAAAAACGGCTGTGTAAGAGCTGATAGAAAAGAAAACATAAAAGCCGTTATAATATTTATATTTAATATTAATATGTCTGGTTTCCACATACAATATAATAATAAATATATTATTAGATATATTTATATATATATTCATTCAGTCTTTCCATTCTGTGAACTAAGAAGCTTTTTTTCCTTACCGAAGGGTGAGAGATTGGGTAAACCTAGTGAACACTGTTAGTAGGGTCGAAGGTTAACGCCTGACCAAGGGCTGGCCTTGTCCAATTTTCCAGTGATATTTTATCAGTCTAACATTTAAACAAGGCCTGTTCTCCATTGAACTCTCTCTCTTTGAAAACGGTTTTTTTTTTTGTCATATCGCCCTTATCTTGCATTGTCTTATTCCAACAATCCAATTTTTCGTTCCTATCAAGTAAGTTCGAGCAGGTATATAAGAGGAGTGACCGAATAGTGGGAGACAACCTTATCTATCCGAAACACAACACACATTAAAACTTTCCGAGTAACTACTTGTCTGGATTCCACTCTGAATCCCTAAAATAAAAGGCTGGAGACTACACCGTCTCGCTATAAATAGAAGATATTTAAAACATAAAAGTAATGAATTGATTAATTAATGAGTTATGACTACAGTATATGACTTATTAATTACGAAATTAAAATTTCATCATAATTTAGCATCAGTTGTAGTGGATAAACGTAATTACCTTTTGTTTACTAACCTAGAATTCTTAATGCTCAGATTCCGTGAGAAAACATCATATACTATATATACATATATCTATTTAGTATATTGGTACTATTGTATGTATATGGATATTTCGTTTTCACACGGAATCAAACCATTATATTCATTGATTGTCATTGAATTCTATAAAGCGAAACTACGGCGACGAACAAATTAAAATTGACGTTTGGAATCCACAATCGCTCAATCTATTGTAATACGAGTATATTGCATTTTCAATGTCACAGTCGTTTCATTTTAAAGACACTCGTAACACCTTGACGTTAGACTTTAACAATCTAAGGAACGTGCAAATTCAAATTTCTAATTACTTTTCTATAAAATTACAAAATAATGGAAAATTTTTTGGCAAGAATTGAAGACGAAAAGCAATATAGAAGAAAAAGAAACACTATAAACACAGAAGCAGAGATATGTTTGAAATGCGTTTTATCTTCGTTTACCTCTATAGCAAGAGTTTACGGATGGACATTTTTCATTCCTTGTTCCTGCCAAAACCGAAACGATGTTAATATTCACCCAATTTTAACAAAATTTTATTCATTCTTTATCGAATTTTACTATTGGATGCATTTCCTTTTGGTGNAGGAGTGACCGAATAGTGGGAGACAACCTTATCTATCCGAAACACAACACACATTAAAACTTTCCGAGTAACTACTTGTCTGGATTCCACTCTGAATCCCTAAAATAAAAGGCTGGAGACTACACCGTCTCGCTATAAATAGAAGATATTTAAAACATAAAAGTAATGAATTGATTAATTAATGAGTTATGACTACAGTATATGACTTATTAATTACGAAATTAAAATTTCATCATAATTTAGCATCAGTTGTAGTGGATAAACGTAATTACCTTTTGTTTACTAACCTAGAATTCTTAATGCTCAGATTCCGTGAGAAAACATCATATACTATATATACATATATCTATTTAGTATATTGGTACTATTGTATGTATATGGATATTTCGTTTTCACACGGAATCAAACCATTATATTCATTGATTGTCATTGAATTCTATAAAGCGAAACTACGGCGACGAACAAATTAAAATTGACGTTTGGAATCCACAATCGCTCAATCTATTGTAATACGAGTATATTGCATTTTCAATGTCACAGTCGTTTCATTTTAAAGACACTCGTAACACCTTGACGTTAGACTTTAACAATCTAAGGAACGTGCAAATTCAAATTTCTAATTACTTTTCTATAAAATTACAAAATAATGGAAAATTTTTTGGCAAGAATTGAAGACGAAAAGCAATATAGAAGAAAAAGAAACACTATAAACACAGAAGCAGAGATATGTTTGAAATGCGTTTTATCTTCGTTTACCTCTATAGCAAGAGTTTACGGATGGACATTTTTCATTCCTTGTTCCTGCCAAAACCGAAACGATGTTAATATTCACCCAATTTTAACAAAATTTTATTCATTCTTTATCGAATTTTACTATTGGATGCATTTCCTTTTGGTGTTTTCCATGATAATACCGGTTTTGTCAGAAATGATTCCATGTCACTCATGGTACTTCTTAATGAAAAACGACGCCATATTTCTGAAAATGGTTATCGTTAATGTAGCTTTAACTTTCGCGCTCATTTTCAGTATTATAAAAAAAGTGAAATTAACCACAAATATTAAATTGATGAAGCCAGAATATTTCTGTCAAAAAGAATTGTACGACGTGATTAATTATACTAGAATTACCATTTCTGTTCTAGTTGTAACTTTTACTATTTGTGGCTTAGCATTGAACATTTTTTATCTTTATCCTGCTGTAGAAGAAGGAAAGACTTACGAGCACGAAGCGCTCTTTTGCAGTGTAGAATTTGGCATTTTCTTTAATTTACTTATGGGTGGAATATTCTTTTCAAGTTTTTTAATTATTTTGCTTATAATGGTATTAATAAAAATTTTCCAGAAGCTATCGGAAGATCTGCAACTACTAAAAATGAATCATCCTAATTTGGAGATGGAATTAGAAGTAATTATGACACAACACAATGAACTTTGGAACTATGCGAAACAATTGAATGGCCCATTTAATTACGTATTGACAATTTTGTACGGTTTTATAATAATACAAACCAGTCTACTTTATTATATTTTGATTTTTTCGAAAATGGAATTTGCGTTGAGACTTTACATGTGCATAAGTTCTGCTGCAATATCACTTGGTTGTGTTTTAGTAGGAGTTTTACTATCCGCTTTTACATCTACTGTAATTTTTTATTGTATTATATACGCTACTTCGTGATTTATTTATTTGTAACATGTTTTTCTTTTTTCTTTCAGATGCAAACTTCGTTTCAAGACATTCGAAGATTCGCTCAATGCGATTTGAAATTGGAACAGAAATTAAAAGTAAAGCTTCTGTTATAAAATAGGTTAGCGTTAGTTTTTAATTTGCATAAAATAACATTATGAATTTTGTACAGATTGTGAATTTTATGAAAAGATTTGGGAAGGCATCTTTATATTTATCTGTCAACGGTTTCTTCAATGTTACCAAGAAGTTTCCTGTCAAGGTATGCAAGGTGTATAGTCATTTAATATATTATTGTATTATATATATAAATTTGAATTTGCAGATGTCCAGCGCTCTCTATTCTGTTTTTTCGAATCTGTTAAATTTGAGGACCGTTTCCACAAAGAAATACTGCTCTTACTGAGATATGAACCTAAGAATTTATCCTTTGAATATAATTTCATCTCATAACGTTTCAATTAATAAATATAAATTAATTCATTTATATATGATTATTTAGATACACTGTTATCGTTTCTTGACACATTATTGTGGAATTGTAATAGATTGCATTGTTAAAATTAAAATGAATTTTTCGAATAATATTTTTTTTATATTTTGATACAAATTGCTTAAATAAATGTAAATGTAGTATCGATTTTAATATTTTAAATAAAATTTCAATTATTAAATGTTGGACTTTGTAATTAATTTTATATTAAATTATTTCGAATCGTAGTAATTTATAAATGTAAAGGTATTTATTTATTGTTATAATTTTTTGATTGATAATAATAATCAAAAGATAATATTAAGCGGACGAAACAAGCGATCGAAACTTCGCTCTAAGTTACATAATCCTGTTTTTATACTTTGAAAGTACTAACAACTCCTATAATGTTTCGGACGCTATCGCATATATGTTACCTCTCAGAAATATACGTAAAGCATTTCCAGATTCTATCGGAAATTGCTGCCTGACGACGTCACAATGCCGGGCTACAATTTTTCGTCAAATCTTATAGCAGTGTGTTGCCCCTGTACGTCATACTTGTCCTGTCAGCAAGTGAGTGATGTCGGTTATGTACCTAACACATTTTAGGGGAAAATTTTGAATTGAAATACACAGTTAACCTGGACTTATGCACAGTTTGGCCTTATGGTCATAAAGCTTATGAGCATAAGACCAAACTGAGTATTACAGCATAATAATTTTACTATAAACGCGATATTTACGAGAACATACAATCTGTTGCAAAACATATAAAGTTTTTACTATAACATAAAGCAATTATTCTTGCATTAATATAAGATTTTTTTTTATTTAACCAAGTCATACGAAGTCTTTCGGACGTTAAAGTTAGCAACTTCGATCACTGGCGGGGCCATCACAACCTGTCTAACACGGATCACTTTTTAAATATTATTAGTAGACCGGTATTAATTAGTAGACGTTGACAATCCAGGAGGAGATCAACTTGAAACAGCTTTTGGTCGAATTATTTCAACTCTCTTTCCGCAAGACGCCCATCTTTCTATCGTATCAGCAGTATAATCGCGTTCGAATAAAAAAATTACATATTATCAAGTTACCAGTTTGAACAAAATATGTTTGAAGTGGTTATCGTGGCTGCCTAGTTTAAATATTATGTTTGGTTTTAGCTAGATTTGATTGATTGGAACTTTGTAGTTTGATTTTTGGCTGTGAATGATACAGTTTCTTAGAGTTGACATAAGAATCATATATGATATCTGAAAACATTTAAGATATATTTTAAAACGGTTTCTACCAATGAAATTGTTTTATTCTGTACCATCCGAATATCGCGATGAACATGACAAAGAGAAACTAAAATAACCAAACTCTTTATACGGTTTTCATTTTAATGTTTTGACCTCTGCTCATTAGACGAAGACAACGACGACAAGTATTCCCTTTCAATGTAGCTATTACGGGCAAAGCTCTTGAATAATCAATTTATTAACATGAAGTATCTCATTGCTACGAAATAGGTTGTCTCAATTGTGATTATGTTTATTTTTTACAGACAATTATCTTTAATAAGATTGTTCGTTTAGGACTGGAATGAAATCCAACAACATTATTTTAATTGTATCCGGATTCATCTAAAGCAGAAAATTATTAAAATGTGTAATAATCAGAAATTATTGACGTACAGATATAAAAAGATTTAATATACTCGATATTGTTATAGCATGAATGTTGCTTTTAATCTAGATTCGATTTATATTTGTTTACTTATTCTTCCCTTTTGAAATTTATGTTTACTTTTATGTATTTAATATACATGAATTAATATAAGTATGAACTAACATATTATAATTATTTACAATTTCAATATATTTCTAATTAATTAANTACAGATATAAAAAGATTTAATATACTCGATATTGTTATAGCATGAATGTTGCTTTTAATCTAGATTCGATTTATATTTGTTTACTTATTCTTCCCTTTTGAAATTTATGTTTACTTTTATGTATTTAATATACATGAATTAATATACGTATGAACTAACATATTATAATTATTTACAATTTCAATATATTTCTAATTAATTAAGATTATGAAATAATAATTCTTATGTAACACGTTTCGTATAAGATTTTGAAAAATCGTTAAATATTAAACTGCAATACGATTAAATTTAATTCGAATTCCTTTGTTGGCTTACATAACCCTTTATTAATCTAGTGATCGATGCAGGAAATAAATTCGTATTGAATAACGTAGAATGGGAAGAAATCGATATACTGTTCTGTTGATCGTACTAATTTGCTAATTTAAAATATTTATTTTAAAATTTAAATTCTAAATTTTACTAATTAAAATTATAAAAAGCAATAATAAATCAGGCTAATTCTAAGAACCTATAAATACATATACATAATTAAATCTGAAATCTCAATGCTATATTTAAACAGTAATATTAATACTTTGGGTAAACATTATACAAAGATAATTTCAATTTTCTGGGTGAGAGCAAAATAATCTGATGAGAAATATGAATTTATAATGCTTTAAATTAAGTTTTCTATGAATTTAATACACTACATCAAATTTTATTGAACTGGTATACGCTTATCTTTCCGAAGAATTTATACCTTTAAAAAGTAAACTTTTACCAAATTTGTAAACTATCTGTCGATTTAAATAAAAAAACAGTTGTGATCTTGGGATCCCGTTAGAAAAACCCTATAAGTAACTAAAAACTTAGATAATAACTCGCCTTATTAATACGTTTGTAGATTTTATACATAAATAATTTAATTTTAAACATGATTACATTACAGTTTTGATAAACGACATCTGACTTAAACCAATCTTATGGATTTTTATCGGGCTATATTTAGGCTAATTAATAATCGGATACAAAAGAATTTGGCTACAGGTAGGCGATTACTCCGCCATCTTGTGATAACTTTTTAAAACCGTATAGTCTAACTATATAAAACTGAAAAAGCAAATTTTTTCTTTCTTTCTGTCACTGTATGCCGAAAATTGCCACTGGGGGCACCCCTAGCTATTATTTAAATTAACAATATAAATTATTTATATTTATCTTATACTTTTACAGTATAATACTCAGTATATTATTATCTTTATTTGTATTTTAGTATGCCCCGATGCTGCATCGAGTCTTTCGACTATATAAAGCTAAAAGAAACTGAGCAGTTTGACCGTATGACAAAAATGGCCACTAGGGGCGCCTGTGGCTATTATTTAAATTAACAATATAAATCTATATATATAATCGAGACGAGTTGATAATAATAATAATAATAATTTGCGCAGAGCCCAAACGGTTAGGAGTTGAAAGTTGAAATTTGGTACACAGTTAGGGTACGTCACAAGAACGCACACTAAGAAGGGATGTTTCGAAATTCCTCCCCACAAGGGAAAGGGATAGGATTAAGTCTTAACACTTCCATCAACAATGGAAGTGTGAAGTAGCAATGGAAGTGTGAAGTAACAATGGAAATGTCAACAATGGAAGTGCTACTTAACAATGGAATTGTTAAGAGAAAGCAACGTGCAAGACGCAGATGCAGTTTTTTTCGTTTTAGCGGGAAAACGGACATATTTTTAGACCCTTAAGGAAACCTTATTCTTGCATTCTGTGAAAACGGGTAAGGTTGACTATAACGTAATAATCTTAATCTTCGCTATCGTTACTTTTGCCCGAGCAACGCCGGGCATATCTGCTAGTTATTTTATATTTTTACAGTAAAAATCGATTCGACTTGTAAAATAATAATAAAAAACTGCACAAAAACATTTAAATCTCTCATGTAATCATCAATATTAATATCAAAACTCGCTTCTTAAAAAAAAAAATTAAAATTTTCAAAATATTTTAGATAAGTGTAGCTGTTTTTAGATTATTAACTTTTGGACAATAAAAATCATATTATATAACAAATTTATATGCGTTCAGTATAGCAAATTGCCAAACTCTTTATATATTGGTTCAGATAATACAGGTCGATTGGTCTGGATGAGGATAATTTGAAAGCTGTGTCTTAATAAGCACATTAGTTTTATTAAAGTTAAAATTCGACCATAACGGCGAGGGGGATTCCAGCGAGTTTTTTCGTCACGTGACAAAAGATTAAATGGACTAACAAAATTGCATATACAGTTAGGCCTCCTACAACGCGGTACCTTTACAACGCGGTTTACGGTATTTAGAAATGAATTATCTTTTACATAACAGAAAAATCGCAACGGATCACATGATACGAGCCGCAGTTCGGCATACAGATCTAAACGTCCTTGAAAACAGCTGTTTGTCTACGTTGGCGTGTTATTCCTTTGAAATTTTCAGGGGATGACCGGTTTTTAGACAGATATGCATCAATTACCGTAAACACTCAAATATATCACTAAATTTTCGATCATTTATACTCTTTCATAAGTGGGGACCACAAAAATGGTCCAAAATACAGTATAAACTTATATTGGGTGTATATTTTTAACAACATAGTGAAGGAAAGTTATTTTTTTTTAGCGATTTTTACTGTCCACAAAACTGATTGAAAAAATTTTAGTCATAACAATGCCGAATGAAAAGAAAGGACCGTTGTTGAAAAGGAAATTTATAACTCTTCAAACTAAGATAGAAATTTTGGATCGAATTAAAAGTCAAGAGCGGATAGCTGATATTAGTAGGCATTTTAATTTAAATGAGTCGACTATTCGGTCGATTAAGCAATCAGGAGAAAAGATTAGGAATTTGGTCCCATTCTGATCATCTATTCTTGCGTAAAATGTTGCTCGTCCGAGAGCACCTATAATTGAAAAAATGGAACAAGCGCTAAATATTATGGGTAGAAGATATGAACAAGAAACTTTAAATAAAACTGCACTTAAACACAAAGCCTTAAAAATATTTGATTATTTAAAACAAATGGGACAGTCGTCAGTTGATGAAACTGGTGTAAAATTCGTAACTAGCAATGGCTGGTTTGAAAAATTCAAAAAATGCCATTTAAACGCCAAGTTTTTCTCTT